TTATTGATCAACTATGTTACTTGTGCTTTATTATTCTTGCATTGAAATAATATACTTACCAACGACAGTGATTGGTGTTCGCCGTGGAATAATACCGTAATAGTTCTGGAAGAATCCCCGGCCTATAAAGAAAACCGGAGGGAGACCCATTATTTTACGAATGAAGTTCATTACTTTCTTCATAAATGAGCCTTCTGGAAATGTTATCTGATCGTATGCGTTCGTTTCACCGAACGAACAGACAGGAACTAAGGGAACGCTGAAACAAACGAGTTCTGCTATTATAAAGAGACTTGGCAACAATGGCATTAACCCTCAACCATAATTATTATACTTTTACATAAAGATATTACAATTATATTAAGGAAAAGTGCATGCTGAATGGAGATTTGTCTCATCTTGTGACACTCTTAGTATTTTATCGTGTCTTTATAATTTTGCTTTGGAAAATGGAATAATCATACATGCGTAAAATACGTCAAAATGCACAAATGCATAAATATTCATAGTGTAGTGAAAGACAACCACAATGATTTAGATAATGATGGTAATTTTAACGCCGACGTTTTTATCAGCTATAAATCTACTGTACATTGCTTGACATAATGTATCATTTCTATTCAGCATATATAACGCAATGTTAAATGTACCAACGAAACAACGTATTGATTTGTTTAACTTCAACTCGATGAACACAGTTTATTTGTTTATTTGTTTATCTTATAAATTAGCATATCAATCACCTAAGATGAAAGTCTATGTAATAATCTAATGAATAAGTTTAAAGTAGACTAGTTCACAGAACCGTTTTCTATTGTTTCATGTTCCCTCGAGCTTGTTGTCCGAATCAACAAAAATAGTAGCAATCCTAACCCATTCTTCAGCGCGAGCCTTACGAAGCCCTTCCTCCTTTTTATAAGGATACGATAAGTGCCCGGCTTGGATTCCATTATTTCTGCTGCTCCACCAGGCATAAGAACCGTTACTTTTCCGGTGAATGGAGCCGCAGGTTTCGTCGATAATAATTGATTCATGCTTTCTGGACTGCTACTAGCAGTACCTG